ATTAGAAACAAAATAATTTTCATTGATACCCAAATAAAAAAGCTGAATGAAAAAAAAATATCAAATTTTGAGTACCTACAAATATTGGCTAAAAAATATAAGCCAAAGCAATGTTATAAATAATTTTTTGTATTTTACCTATTTTGTTTGACTTATATGACTACCTAATTGATTTATCATTTTTATAGTTGTGTTATTTGTGTATAAATGTCGTATATTATACCTAAGACTGATGTGTTCTAACTGAACTATATTATATTTTTAACACCATAATGACTTAGTTTAAAATAATTTATAATTTGTATACCATTATATTACCACACTTTTCTTTTATAATTATATGTACTACATCCTATTTTGTTTGACTTATTGACTAATTGATTTATTATTTTTATAGTTGTGTAATTTGTATATAAATGACGTATATTATACCTAATAAAACATAAAATATTTATTAATTATGTTAATTTTATAAATGCATCTATTTATCCGATTTTTTTTAGTGAAGTTTATGAACCACTACTTAATTCTGTACGGGAGGCAACTAGTGTGAAAATTCTTGGGAGGCAACTCGTATATAATTATGAACTACCTGGTCATCGGAGGCAACTAGTGTATATTAACCTTTTTATTTACGATAAGGATGGGAGGCAATTCGTATATTTTGGGAGGCAACTAGTATGCACCGATTTTTTCGATTAAGCCAATTATTAAAAACATTCGTACGGCTGTCATCCAACTCCATTCTATATATAATTCTGCAAATATTTTTTGATAATGTCTGCCGGTGACAATATTTTATAAATTCAACAAAATCTTCAGGATTTACTTCCGAAAATTCCTTATTTTTGTGGTAAGCTGTCATTTCCTTTACCACGAGGGCTGCAAGTTTCCGATGAGATATCATTGCAGTTAAATATTTCGTGATGAGTGTTTGTGTACTAATGACATAAAAAATGTTGGCTTTATTTATATAGATTATTTTTGTTTATTTAATTATATAGCGAGAAGATTTCGTTAGTAACCAGAATCATATGTTCAATCATTTGTTTTGTAATAACTCGTTCTATCTGGAAAAATAACATCATAGACTTGGGGAAAATATTTAAGTGTTTATAGCGTTATGTTCAAAAAATGGTTGGTAAAATTATGTGATATTTGTAAAATCATCGGTTTTTGTATGTTCAAAAAATGATTTCTTCCAAAATATTGTAAGTACATAAGCACATTGCACATAATAATTTTTGTTATAATTTTTTCTATCGGGAAAATATAACATCATAGAGTTGGGAAAAATATTTAAGTTTTTATACAGCTACGATCAAAAAAAGGTTGGTAAAACTATGGGATATTTGTAAAATCTACTGTTTTAATATGTTCAAAAAATGAGAACTTCCAAAATATAAGCAAGTACATTATGCACATATTAATATTTGTTGTTGAGAAAAAAAATTGCAAAAGATTTACGACCTCTTATGGATATCGAACCATAAGCCTTCTTTTTATCCAGCTTTGAAACTGGCCAACCCACCAGAGCTGGGCCCCGCATTCGGTATCTAGAAACTACTAGTATTTGAACCATTCAAGGAGCTCTGCGCACCAAATGTAGTATAAAAAACTTTATTTCTCAACTAAACTATATAAATTTATATTTTCCTGATAGATAATATCACACTGAATCTTTATATATACAGAACTCACCTTAACTTCATATATTTTCGCGGAAATCACATTTTGAACATAAATATTTGGCATATTTTCATCGTTTTAGTGGGTTATTTTGTGTTTGCACATAAGACTATACAACTTTTATTTCTTACCTAACCTTTATGAAGTTGTATTTTTCTGATAGACCAGGTCATGACGGTAAAGAAAATATATCTTTTGTCATAGTACGATAGATATTTTTTTCCTAAATTACTTCGAAAAAATGTATATTGTGATAATCCAAAATATCGTAATTACAGTGGTTTCTTTTTTGAACATAAGTCTATTTATTCTTTAATTTTTACCCAAATTTTATGAATTTATATTTTCCTGATAGACCATTTTATGACAAATAAATACTTATGATTTTTGTCATTGTACTATATTTATTTTATTTTTTTAATTACTACGAAAAAATTTTTTTTATGACCAACCAAAATATCGTAATTTTCACACCATTTTTCGGTCTTAGGGTTGATGGAAATTTTCCAACAGTAAAATATGACTGAGGATACCATTCTGAACATTTAAAAAAAAAATCAAGTCGATATGTGCAATATTAAAGAAAATAGGTTTTCATAGATTTTTGTTGAAGTCCAGGCTGCTTACACGTAGCTGTGAATACGTTGTTTTTTAACTCTGCGCACCAAATGTAGTATAAAAAACTGTATTTCTCAACTAAACTATATAAATTTATATTTTCCTGATAGATAATATCACGCTGAATCTTTATATGTACAAAACTTACCTCAACTTCATATATTTTTTTAGAAATCACATTTTGAACATAAATATTTGGCATATTTTCATCGTTTTAGCGGGTTATTTTGTGTTTGCACATAAGACTATACAACTTTTATTTCTTACCTAAAGCTCATGAATTTATATTTTCCTGATAGACCAGATCATGACGGTTAAGCAAATATAATTTTTGTCATAGTTCGATAGATATTTTTTCCTAAATTACTTCGAAAAAATGTATATTGTGATAATCCAAAATATCGTAATTACAGTAGTTTCTTTTTTGAACATAAGTCTATTTATCCTTGAACAGTATGATAACGACGGTGATGTTCAATTGGTTATGTTCAAAATATATGTAAAATGTGTAAAATCACCTTCAATCATAAGTTCATAACAATAATGTTTAATAAATTGCTTAATACTTCTCATTTTACTGCAGTAGCTCACACTATAACTCACACTATCACCATAGCGAACTATAAAATAGATATGAATTATGATAGATATGTTATCTAAACTTCTCTTTTCTTATCAAGGAGAGTTACCTCTTGTAGGTTTCCTTACGTTCAATTGCCTTATGTCCAATTACCATTAAACATAAGCTAACCATGCCACAATCTAACCTTACTTAATTTTATACACTTTTCAATTCGCTTTCACGGCTCGCACTAGTCACATGTCACATCATTGTCACGTCATGAACTCGCTCGTTTTTTTAAAGTATATTAGTTTGAAATTCAGCCAAATATTTGTTGGCATAATGTGATGAGATTCGGAATACAGTCAGTATCAATCGATATAATTTATAATATTGTTCTACATTGAATATATTATTAAAAATACTGTCCGCTCAAAATTATTTCCTCGCCCTGACAGGTGGTCTGTGTTCGGCGATCGGCCGTAGTATACTATAGATGTAGTAATGTACTATGCATCTGTGCCGCCGTGCATACGATCACCACTAGCGCTCCGATGACACGGCGCACAGTGGGATGAAACACGAATTTAGCGTGCCAAAAGTACCTTTTTTTAAACTAAAAAATTATTGGTTTTTTTTATCAATAATTAATCGGTACATTATTCTGATGATTAAATCAGAATTTCAAAAAAATTAATTAACATACACCTGACTTACAGCTGTTAGTATAAAATATATACATTATTTGATTGATATTTTCAAACTTTTATTCATTTTCTTTTTATTTAATTTTCACACTTCAACGATAAAAATAGAATTTTTTTTTCCACAGTTATTAAATTATATACGTACATGTAACAACGACCTATTATTTTTATATTTTAATTATTTTTTTTTTTCCTAATTGCTATATTATGTTGAAATTTTAAGTGTTTTAGTGGTTTTTGAACTTTTGAGGAGTAATACTTAAATTTACGCAGTTTTACTAACTATTCAATACATACATATTGTAAAGGAAATTGATAGCTCTTTGAAAATATAAACATTTTTTGCTTTCAGTTTCAACAGTAATTTACAAAAATTGTTTTCTTTATAAATATGACGTTTTACTGTAAAAACCACGCTTTTTATACTATTTAGTTTTCTCACTTGAAACCATAAAATTTTATTTTTTATTTATACAATTGTTATATAATTGTCTTAAATGTAATAATGAAATATTATTTATTTATATTAATTCATTTTTTTTTTATTTTTTTATATGCTTTTTAATAATAAGTTTTTTAATGATTTTAGTACTTTGGAGAAATGATACTGAAATTTACGCCATTTTACCAACTATTCAATACATAAATATTGTAAAGGAAAATGATAGTCATTTAAAAATATAAACATTTGTTGCATTCAGTTTCAATAGTAATTTACAAAAATGGTTTTCTTTAAATAAATATATCGTAGATATTATTGTAAAAACCTCGATTTTGATGCTTTATCGACTTTTAACGTAGCTTTTCTCTACGGGTACCGTTAAAAGGTATAAAATCAACTAGTTTATTAATGACAGTTGTGAAGATAAGATATGTCACAATCATAAAACATTGCACTATTGAACGATTTGTTCAATTCATAAGTTTCACAGACTCATTATCTATTGACTGTTGGTAAAATAAATGCGCTACCTCGTTACTTTTATTCATTTGTATGTATAATACGTTATGCTCCTTTGATTTTAAATTTAAAAAATTTAAATATTGAAGAATGGATAAACAATTAATTGGTAAGTACCCTACTAATTTACGTTTATAGTTTAATTAGGATTATAATTCGTTTTAGACTTTTAGTACGTCTTATAAATTGATATTTCGGTAGGTACACCTTGTTAATGCCATTTTATATTTTGTTATTTTTCGTTATTACGTTTACAAATAATGTAGGTACGTTTAAATATTTATTTTCAGATAACTCAACCTCTCAAAATGCAAATAATATTATTTATAATCAGGATCTTATTGAAGTTATATACCAAAAAGGATTTATAACATGTTTAACTAGTATTCGTTCAAGAAACGCTATATATGAATTTATTCAATCACGTTTAAATTATTCTAACTGTTTTAGTTTGTATCAAAAAATGTTAGAAAAAGAAATTTTGAAATTTTCTTTGACCACTTCTAGGAAGTGGTCCAAAGTTAATAGAAATTATAAAAAATTTATTAAAAATAATAATGAATCGCTTAATAGTCGATTTAAATTACCTTCTAATAAAAAATCGACTTTATCTATTATTGGTCGACCAATTGTTCCATTTCAATCTTGTTCTAAAAGAACACAGAAACAAAAAATGAAAATCATTATTTCAAATTCAAATATGAATACGCAAGAAATTATGTACGTTGCAAAAAATAAAATGGTTTTGTCTGGCCAAAGAAGTGCTGCTCACTTATTTGAGGAAGGTCAACTATCTCCAAGTAGAGCTAAAAAAATTAGAATGAGACTTAATTATTCGAAGTATCCAATTCCTTATACAGCAGATGAAGCGTTGGCGTTTATTATTGATAATAAGCTCACTAAACAACAATATATTAATATACGTCTGGGCTCAAAAAAAAGAAACTGTAATATATATCCATCGTATGAAAATATACGAATGTCGAAAACAAAATGCTATCCTAATAATATGGACATTGGGGAATCAAGTTGTAAAATATCACTTCAAAGTCTATAAGATCACACTACTAATAGAATATGTCAAGTACCAGAAGTATCTACAACTAATTTAAATTCGACAAAACTTGAAATGTTATATAAATGGGGGTGTGATGGTAGTAGTGGTCAGTCTCAATATAGACAACATTTTAACGACGATTCTTCAACAACTGATCAAGCAATGTTTATGTTTTCAATTGTGCCGTTAGAACTTCGATCTCATTCTGAAGTTAGTGATATCAAAAACAATTATGAAGTTATTTGGTCTAATCCTTCTCCGTCATCCACTAAATTTTGCCGTCCAATAAAATATATGTTTAAAAAAGAAACTATCCAAGAGTACTAAAGAGGAAGTTAATGATATAGAAAAACAAATTCTTAATCTTTTAAACACAGATGTATTTTTTAACGAATCAATCATTCAAGTCAAACATACTCTCATATTTTCAATGGTCGATGGAAAGGTACGTAAATATTAGTAAAATATAAACTCAGAGTTAAGATTAACCTTAAATTTACTTTAGGTTTGCAATTCTATGACAGGAACTTCTAGCCAAACGTGTTACATTTGTGGCTGTAAGCCAACAGGTTTCAATGACATTGATAAAGTTATAAAAATGTCAAATAAAACAGAAAATTATAGATTCGGGCTATCTACTTTACACGCATGGATTCGGTTTTTTGAATATTTTTGTAAATTACTGTTGAAACTGAAAGCAAAAAATGTTTATATTTTCAAAGAGCTATCAATTTCCTTTACAATATGTATGTATTGAAAAGTTAGTAAAACTGCGTAAATTTAAGTATTACTCCTCAAAAGTTCAAAAACCACTAAAACACTTAAAATTTCAACATAATATTAGCAATTAGGAAAAAAAAAAATAATTAAAATATAAAAATAATATGTCGTTGTTACATGTACGTATATAATTTAATAACTGTGGAAAAAAAAATTCTATTTTTATCGTTGAAGTGTGAAAATTAAATAAAAAGAAAATGAATAAAAGTTTGAAAATATCAATCAAATAATGTATATATTTTATACTAACAGCTGTAAGTCAGGTGTATGTTAATTAATTTTTTTGAAATTCTGATTTAATCGTCAGAATAATGTAACGATTAATTATTGATAAAAAAAACCAATAATTTTTTAGTTTAAAAAAAGGTACTTTTGGCACGCTAAATTCGTGTTTCATCCCACTGTGCGGCGGCCTGCGCTGCTGCGACCAGTTTCGCCGAACGAGTAGGTCAAATAAAAATATGTGGCTCGATCGTCCCCTTCTATACATTCCTGACAATCCGAATACCAGTATTTATAATCAATGATATAACTAAGTATATTTGATGATATTCCGAATAAAATAATTTATATATAACGTATTAACGTCTATTTATGTGGAACCTTATTTTAAATAAGCAATAATTGCTATAAATTGCTATAAGCAACGGACCCTATAGACTCTGTGTTACCAAGGTTTGAACCCGTTCACACCATCATATCGTGTTATACATCGATCCGCGCACAGTACTACGCTATATTAAGGAATTCGTGATTTAAATTCTCCTATGGAAACGTTGCGCCTCAGAATCTATAGGTTCGTTGCGCAACCTGTCTATCTTAAATCGTGGTATCGTCCAAGGTTGTATATCTTAAACCGTGGTATCGTCTATTGGTGATTGAAAGCTTATCAATTATCAATTATCTTATCAATTTCAATCGTCATATCCTAGTTAGTAGGTTTGGCCTAGTCATTATGTAATTTACTCATTGCATTACAGTATTTTACTAATTTCACATTTTCACCTACTTAGCGGTAAGTACATTTTAATGATCAATAATATTATAGTAAAAAATAAGGTATAACCATTAGACGATCACGACTTGTGAGTGTGACAAACAGTAGTTTCCAAATGTTTACTTATCAAATATAAAAAACTTGGCCATTGCGATACTATTAGGTATTATATCGTTCTAAGGTACACCGTTTTCGTGCTGTTCGAGAGGATATGTCAGTAAAATTAATTGGTTATATTTGGTTAAATGCGTATTGTTTGATATTACGTAATATTACCGTCGGTATGAATACTGTCTGCGGCAGAGTCGACCAGGTATCGAATCTCATATACACGGTACCTTTTCAAAAACTAAATTTACAGTTGTCTCTAATAATTTAATATTATTCATTGGCAATGCCTTGAAACGGTCAGTTTAGTGAAGACAAATATTATCAGGTGATATTGCATTTAAAATTTACGAATCAAATATAGAAAAGTTGGCCATTGCGATACTATTCTGTACTGTCGGCCTCTGTTTTCTATTAATGGTATGTGCACATTAAAATAACTAGACCGTTGCACGTTGGTTTCTTGCAACAAAAAGGTACACAAAAACAATATTGAGGTATGACGTGATGTCTTTTATATTATAAAAACCAATATATCTTCGTCAAGAGCACGTTTTGAATGGCACCATTTATAACATGTATAATATATGATTTTTCAAGATCCCCCCCCCCCCCGAAATCATATTCATCACCCTAAACATACATTCAATCACTCATACATAAAATACGACCTCGAAAATATAATCCCATAAGAAAAACCCCTATGTCCCCCATGGCAGTTCAGCATGAATATCAACATCGACTTACATCAATTCCCCAAAAACTCAACCTGTCCTCACATTTTCAAGAATGCATTCAGAGACTTCTGTTCACACACCTACCCACAAACCCACATATATACAGATGCCTCCATCATCGAAGGGCGAGTCGGGATGGTTATCATATGCGATGAAACTACAATACAATGGAAACTTTCAGACAAATGTTCGATATATACAGCAGAAACCCTGGCGATCCTCAAAGCTATCGAGTTCATCATCTCTGAAATAAATGACAACAATATTACAATATCCCTCTCCGCTCTTACTAGCCTCCAAAATCTGTATTCCCCGTCTGATATCGTCAGAAAAATCCAAAACACCCACTACATAGCAAAACAACAGGACAAAAACATCACATATTCTTGGATCCCTGGCCACTGTAATATAGACGGCAACGAACTAGCAGATACAGCCGCCAAACTCGCTCACACATCCCCAAATTCTCTCTCCTTACCCTTTTTCTCCCTCAACGACATAAAGAGGGTCATCGAAAAGGATACACTACTTCACTGTCAAAAGGAATGGAATGAAATGTCAACCAAACTTAACGAAATCAAGAGAACCATCCTACCGTATCCACCTCCAGATAACATCTCAAGAAAACTTGAGACCTCTATAAACCGTCTCAGAATTGGTCACACCCACCTTACACACTCCCACTTAATGAAGAAGGAAGACCCCCCAGTTTGCACATGCTGCGGAACACCCCTTACTGTGAAACACATCTTAACCGAATGCAAAGTTTACGACAAAGAAAGAAGGCTATACCAAATATCCAACCACCTCGCCGAAGCACTCAATCCGGACCCCAACAATATACACAAGATCATACAATTTCTCAAGCAAACGAATCTTATAAACAAACTGTAAATTCTAAATAATACCATCACTTAACCTGTCTCCTAATTATTACTATCTTGTCTTGTTTTAAATACTAAATTACTTTGTATACCTTTCAAATATTAATGTAATATGTAAATATACTTAAAGACAATAATGTACTGTTACATCCAATGGCCATAGACGCCGCGGATAGTTGTTTAATAAAAAAAAAAAAATATATGATTTTCTGAATTTCTTTCAACACCGACTCATTCGGTTACGCTTGTTACGCTTGACCTCGTTATGGTCAATATAGTGTTACAGGATAGTGTCCAATCTTTTATAGTATTTTTGACAGTAATTCCACTGATGTAATCCCCCTTTGGCATGTTAGTTAAGTTAAAAAGTTAAATAATTTCACATACTTAGCGGTAAGTACATTGTAATGATAAATAATAAGGTATAACCATTAGACGATCACGACTTAGTCCAGTCGGCCATTGTGACACAATTATTGATTTCTCCTGGTTACTAAAACCGTTTCTAAAAAACGGTTTCAAATGATGAATTATGAAATATGAAATTATGTGATTGCTGTATTACAATTATTGAACACTGCAAAGAAGTATGGACTTACCACTAGACTACCGCGGCCAGATACCGTTACTGTCAGGCGTCAGCTTTCAATGACAGTAGTAAAATCTGTGGCCCACTAGGTTGATTGTGCTTAGATTATTTTTTATGTAGGCATTTACCATTTAAAGTACATTTTAAAAACAAAACTACTGTCAGCTTTTAATGAAAGCAATAGAATCTGAGGCCCACTGTTTGGTTTTCACAACCTTACAGACCTTTTCCTTAGATTTGTAACAGGGTTATCTAATTTTTGATAATGAAATTTGAAAATGGGCTTACCACTAGACTACCGCGGCCAGATACCGTTACTGCCAGCTTTCATAAGATGTATAATATATAATATTCGTTATTATTAGATTTCCTTTTATGTTGGCCTGGATACTGTCTGTCTCCAATAATTCTATTGTATCTTTTGGCAACCATTTACCATTTAAAGTACATTTTAAAAACAAAACTACTGTCAGCTTTCAGAGAAAGCAACAGTATCTGTGGCCCACTGTTTGGTTTTCACAACCTTACAGACCTTTTCCTTAGATTTCCTTACTTCATCATCAGGAATTATGCACCTTCTTTTCAACCTTCTATTGGGCCAGATTTTCAGGACGTTTGGACCATTTGTGACCATTCTTTATTATTAGATTTTCTTTTATGTTGGCCTGGATACTGTCTGTCTCTAATAATTCAATATTATTTGTTTTCAACGTCTTGAATTGCTCAATTAATGAAGATATATTATTAGGGGATATTGCATCTAAAATGTAGGAATTAACTACAGAGAACTCGGCCATTGGGAAACTATAGTTGTTTTTCTTTCAACACCGACTCATTCGGTTACCCTTGTTACGCTTGACCTCGTTATAGTCAATATAGTGTTACAGGATAGTGTCCAATCTTTTATAGTATTTTTGACAGTAATTCCCCTGATGTAATCCCCCTTTGGCATGTGTTGGAATGTGGTGGTTATACCCCGATTTAAATCTGAATTGTATTTAGCGCGTTGCTACTCCATACAATTGTAGTATGTGAACTGTCACAGAGGCTGCATACTAGTTGCGGTCATGACGATTTTTGAGATAAACGGATATAACAGTTGCGGTCACGCCAATTTAGGTAATATCTTAGTTGCGGTCATAGCTTTATTATACTCCAATTCTTCCATAACACGAACAACCAATGCATGCGAAAGCTTTCATTCAAAGCTCAATAGCATGTTTTACCACTCTCACCCTAATATTTTTATATTTATTGACGCTTTAAATGAAATTCAAACGAATGGATATTTAAAAATGAATTGTACAAAAAACAGTCGTGTTAATAAAAAGTCAATAGAAAAAGAGCATTTTTTAGCGCAACAAATACAGTATTATGAAGAAGGCGAAATAAATCGGCTTGAATTTCTAAAGTCGATTTCCTTTAAATTTATACCAACAAAATTTTAAAATTTACACAATTTATATAATAATAATTATTTGACATTATTATACATATTATATTATATTATACTTTGACACAAGTTTAAACATAAGTATCAACATTTTTAACCATACATACACAATAAATAATAGTGTAGACAGTCCTAAGTCTGTTATCTTTTCGATATAAATGGGAAGGAAAATGTTGATTTGATGTTTGATATTAATTTCATATTTAATTATTATATAAACTATATTATATTATATTATTTAGTATACTTAGTTATTATTATTTGAGTAATAATATGTAACTATACTAGTATGTAACCTTTTTGTTGGGTGACCGCAACTAGTATGTAACCTTTTTGAGGGGTGACCGCAACTAGTATGTAATTTTTGATTATGACCGCAACTAGTACACACCGGTCACAGACATTAACGGTTGCAGCGGTGACGGCAAAATTTTGTCTTTCCATGTTTAGAGTGCTATGAGGTATGACGTGATGTCTTTTATATTATGAAAAACAATATATCTTCGTCAAGAGCACGTTTTGAATGGCACCATTTATAATATGTATAATATACGATGTTATTAATTTGTTTTAATACCCACTCATTGGGTTTGAATTTTGTGTAGTTTCTCATACTCATGTGGTTTAAACTAAAAAACTTTAAACTAGGTAGGGTAAAACAGTGGATTAGGGCTAAAGGCGAATGACCACTTAAAGAAAAACGCACCATGTGCAATGGCCCCTTGGGCTGTGTGGAACGATTGCAAAAAACTTGTTATGGTTATAAGGTAAAAGTCAATAGTATACAATATAATAGTATATAATATATTTTTTTTTTTATTTATATTAATATAAAAATGTGTGTGTATAATATTACTTCCCTCCCCGTCTGCTGAACAAATGCAATACATGTTCAAAGAGGTATTACCGACCCCCCGCACCGCAGATCACTTCCCCGCCCTAAACCACCTTAAATAATGGTTTGCAATGAGCAGAAAAAATTTCAAAATTATGACAGCATCGAACTCTATACGACGCTAAGTTTGAAATGTATGAAATCTTTGGAGAAATTAGGTGCTAAAATAATTGTTTGGCACCTAATTTCTCCAAAGATTTCATACATTTCAAACTTATCATCGTATAGAGTTCGATGCTGTGATAATTTTGAAATTTTTTCTGCTCATTGCAAACCATTATTTAAGGTGGTTTAGGCGGGGGGGGGGGCGGTAATATTGCGCAATCTCAAACAATGCGCATTTAGCCGACGCGAAATATATTATCTCACGTGCGATCGCAGCAGATGCCCTTTCGTAAACACTCGAAAGACGATTTCAAACTTGAAACGTTGACCGAAAAATGCGTCCATTGCCCTGCAAAGTTCCTGTTCAAATCGTGGCTGGTGCGGCATCTTTCGAGGCACGTGGACATTGATAAGTTCAATTGCATGGATTGTGAGTTGACATTTAAGTCCAACAAGGAGATGGAGTATCACCACAACCGTTGCCACACTGGTTTAAAACCATTTGCCTGTGACGAGTGTGATGCGGCCTTTCATGCGCCAAATACTTTGCATAACCACCGGAGAAGACGGCATTAGATCGTGAAAAAAAATATTATATTAATTTAATTGCATCTAATTTCTAAATATCTTTAATTTGTTAAATTGGGTTATGTAATCTAACGTTCAATGTATATTTTCTTTGTTATGGTTGTTATTTATAAAATTTAATTTTTAATTTTGTTTTCAGATATCACTGGTTGTGTGATATTTTTTTTTTTTTTGTAGCCGTTGTTCGGTTCGTGGAATAGGCCCGTTGGGGAGACCACGTTAAAAAAAACTGTTGACGTGGGAACGTCAGTGGATTAGGCCTCTTGGGGAAACCACTTAAAAAAAACGCATATTGTTGTATTATAGCCATGATGATATTGCAATTGGTTTGCTGAATGATGTGCCTACTAAAGCAATACCAAATATGTGCACAATTGAATTAATTACATATATTTAAAGAAAGGTTTATTATAAATTTAAATGAAGCATATACTGAGCATGGGGAATTTGTATTTAATAACAATAATAAATATGAATTACTCAAATCACTCATTAAAATTGATGAAACCATATACAGATACAGCCAGATTTGTCGACACGTATCGTTGGAATTAGAAACAGTAGTTCTTGACAAAAAAAATAAGTGGTAGTTAGACCCATTAATACATACGTACGCGAGGCATGTAGACGATTATGGCATATCTAAATATCTTATTTATTGACGATAATAATGTACGTATAGTAATTATAATTATTTTATAAAAAAAATATTATAGGTACCTCTAACCATTTCAAACACAAGTAAAATGTTTAATTTCAATTTTCTGTTCTACCATGCAGCCTTCCGGGTACCACCGTGTGTCTTCAACGTATCAACAGTGGTACGCGTACCACAGTTTGAGAACTTTTGATCTAGATATAATAACCTAAGAATTTTATAGGAAGTAATTTCACTCTAATTTTAGAAATTACAGAGTAAAATGTATTGTTGTGAACGCAAAATGACGAACACAATATGCAGTTATTTTTAATTTCTGTTTATGATCTATCAGCAAATATCCATCTGTGTACAATGATCCTTCATGTCTCAAACAACAATATTATACCGTGTTCCTATTTACATTTTTAAATGTAATGGGTTGTCGATATTTTTTTTCTAAATTCACATACCACCCTGCCTAAATATTTCATTGTCATATTACGTCATATGTGATTGGATAAAGTTTCAATTGTGTTACGACAATTATAAAAATGTATGAAAATTGTTTATTAAAAAGTATTATTGGTAATATGCAAAATAGAATTTTTTTTATGAGAGTTCCATATTAATAAAATCATACAAAATGTAGGTATTAAAATATATTCAGTGTTTTTTAGTGATAAAATATCAGATATTAAATACCTATTAAAATTGTTTTTATTATGATAAATTATGGTTCACTATAAAATAAATAAATACTTATTTAAATAGGTTTTAAATTTGAAGATTCAACGTGTGTCTTTCAAATACTTGTCTAACGCATTTTTCAAACGTCTGTTTTCTAGGCCTTGAAGATACAAAAATATAAATGTGATGTATGTCGAAAACAGTTTAAGCGTAGCACCATCTTACAAGGCACAAAATGATTCACACCGGTGGAAAACCTTTCAGATGTGATATTTGCTTAACAACGCACTGAGATTTGTCAAACCTCAAGTGCCACTTGATAATTTGAATCGTCGAAAGACGTTATTTTTTTTGTAATAGTAAAATATTTTGCAGTCACACGGTTTCATTCGGAAATCGGCGGTGTTCGCGGCACGAGAAGTATTTTCCTATGATGTCATCATAGTTTCTTTAAGTAATATAGTTAATTGTGTGTTATCACAATGGGCCGTCAGCCAAATATTTGTTGGCATAATGTGATGAGATTCGGAATACAGTCAGTATCAATCGATATAATTTATAATATTGTTCTACATTGAATATATTATTAAAAATACTGTCCGCTCAAAATTATTTCCTCGCCTTGACAGGTGGTCTGTGTTCGGCGATCGGCCGTAGTATACTATAGATGTAGTAATGTACTATGCATCTTTGCCGCCGTGCATACGATCACCACTAGCGCTCCGATGACACGGCGGCCTGCGCTGCTGCGACCAGTTTCGTCGAGCGAGTAGGTCAAATAAAAATATGTGGCTCGATCGTCCCCTTCTATACATTGCTGACAATCCGAATACCAGTATTTATAATCAATGATATAACTAAGTATATTTGATGATATTCCGAATAAAGTAATTTATATATAACGTATTAACGTCTATTTATGTGGAACCTTATTTTAAATTTTAAATCATTAGCTATAAAAGTAGAACATTTTATACATTTTTAAATTTTAAATTTGATACCTAAATTTTGTTAACAATTGAACTTTAAATGCTTTTAAGAGAAAATTGTGACTGTATATTTAATATTTTTCAAATGTCATTGTAACAGTATATGATGAGCCTTGTATTCAATTTTCAAGCTTTTTTACCCAAAAACAAGAATAAAGTTTTCGTCCTGGACAGTTTTAATTTGAAGCTCGCTCATTACGTTGATAACTTCTATAATATTTGTTGGGAGTTTCGGATATGACGATCTACGAGAACGGTATAAACATTGATAAATATCATTGATATCTGTACCTGTAAACGTTTGTGTTAGTTCTGGATTAGTTAAAATAACTCTATTTATGACTTTTGAAGGCCTTTCCAATTCACCTTCCGATTTTCATTTGAGTCCATTACAAAATCATTGTGGTAATTCAAATTAAAGTATTTGGAGTAATACCCAACATACATTTAATATGAATTTATCTATTTTGTCTCTACTATGAAATCAATTAAAAAAAAATAATTAAAATATTATAAAATTATTTTATTTTATTTCTTGAAATAGGTATTCCTATAAATTATTACCTAGGTATCATAGTAATAAAAAGGCATAATATAGTATTCATCTACTATATTTAATGATTTAACAATATAATTAAAAGTCTTCTATAAGTAAAGTTGTAAACCAATAAATTCAATTTTTCATACCTCTAACCACCTTGACACTTTTTGAAAAGATTCATTATAATCCATTTCTTCTGTGTTTTTAGTTTGACCACATGCAGCCATTTTAATGGTTCTCGAGTTGAACATTTTAATTAAGTTCTTTCAAATAAAACATTAATATTGTACATAAAAGTATTGGTAATTAAAACAATGAACTTTACTGTGTATGTACCTACAACTCGCGTCTCGCATAGTAGGTGAAGTATAATATCATAATACCATGATAGTCATCATAGACACTTATGGAGCGAAAAGTTTGTGATTAAACATTTATTCCCAAAACGAATACTGAATTTTATCAGTTGCACCAACTAGTAAATAAAATAAAATAACGGAATTCCATTAATTAATAATTAAAGCAAAAACAATTAAAATTGAAATGTCAACAACATCTTTTACACTTGGAAATAGTACGTTTTGCAAATAATTGATTTAGTATAGCTACATTTTAACATGGGAAATATAATGTTTTGCTTCAGTCTGGAAATAGACAATAGTACGTTCTGCACATAATTTGGGAAATAGTACGTTTTGATTCAATAATTATTAAGTTTACACTAAATAGCATAGGAAATAGTATGTTTTGATGTAATTTGGAAATAGTTCTTTTTGACACGATTTTAGCAATGGAAATGGTGGGTTATGCAGAAATCATGAAAGTTTATGATCAAATATACACTGGAAATCTGACCACGAAATTCGATTCCGCGTGGTTTTACTATCAGAAATTATATATAACTCAATTTTGATATTTTTGGCAATAATACGTTTTGCATTGTCGCCCCTCAATTGTGAGTGGTTACGAAACATCATTTTTGGAAAATTGAAATTTTTAAAGTAATAATAATATATATGCTGATGGGTATGGTGCGAATCAGGAAGGGTTCATTGTAGTCATCATTTTGGACGAAACTTTGTCTATACTTCTGCATTTTATTGTATGACGCTCGACGCTTCAAACGCTCGAAATCGATGTGCTAGAATATTGGAAAACGAAAATATGTGTGAATAAAACGAGTTTATTATATCGGCTAATAAATATAATATTATAATACACCTACGAAACTTACTGTAATACGACGAAAGTAGTTTTTTTTCCTGGTAACTCGTTGGCGTGCGATATAAAAAATAGTATATTTACTAAGTATATATTTTGATGACGTTATTATGAATAAAGGAATTTATATATTTACCTATTTACCTATTTACGTGGAACTTTGTTTTAAATTTTCAATCTTTAGCTATAAAAGTTGAACATTTTATACATTTTATACATTTTTAACTACGAAATAATTATTAAATTTTAAATTTGATGAATGCTATCAAAATCCGAACTTTAAATGCTTATAAAAAAATATTGTGCCTATGTATTTTGAACATTATTCAACTGCTATTATAACAATATATCAGTTGCCTTGCATTACATTTTCACACTTTTTTACTCAGCAAATAAAATTTTATTGATATTTATAGAAAAAAAAACTAACTAGATATGTATGTCCACAAACAGTTCAAAAAAAGTAAAAAATGTTTCAAAATTTATTCTGCGAGAGGCCAAAACAACATGTAAATTGAATTGCCTAAATTTTACTTCTTAATAAATTACCTGCACTGACACATTTAATAACATCCATTATACAGTGAACCATTTATAACCTACTGTACACTAGTACACTTACACACTTACCCACCTTTTAGATTCTGAGTGGAACGATGAATGTATTGATTTTACAATGATGTGTGTTTTTTTTTTATTTTTTTTTGTGTCGGTGTACACGATAAGTAGTCGAAATAATGCTTTGATTTTCAATGTCAATATCTTGTTCGATTGGAAAGTGAATATCGTTGGTGCATTGGGGAGGTCAAAATTTAAAATTCCCAGTAATTTTCAAAAGCGCCAAGAAAAATTAAGGAAAAACGGGAATTTTTACGCAAAATCGATTTTTCACAAAATTGAATTAGGTTGTTGGATTTAATAGAAGGCTCCTAGTATATTGTTTCAAAGGCAGATGAAAAATATTAAAATTCCTTAGTCACAGTTTTTTTTTATAAGCATTTAAAGTTCAAAAATTGACAAAATATGGAAAATTCACGAAAATTAGCAAATTATTTTGAGTTAAGAATTCGTAAACATTTTTCTTTTTAAATCTAAGATTTTAAAATGTTTTACAAGATTCTTTATAATATTATCTACCTTTATCAAAAAAATTTCTATAAGAAAGTCAAATTAAATTTTTATGAGTGTTTGAAATTCAAATTTTTACAACATTGGATATTCACTCGATTTCTCATGTAGCGACCCACTGTACATTTTAGGTTACATAACATTGTTGCGATGTATGATATAAGTTTCAATGCTAACATCGCACATCGACGTTACCAAAACATCGTGTTGAATGGTTTAGTTTTACAAATATTTTAAGTTTATATTTAAACAACCCAGAAACGTTGACGTTTCAACATCTCTGAAACAGCGTAGTGATCAGTGTTAGGAAAGATAACCAATATTTTTATCTAGATTAAAGATAAAGATAATGACTAAAGGTTTATCTAAGATAAAGATAATCTTTTAATTATCTAGATGAAATAAAAAGATAAAAGATAAAAGTTAATTATTTAAAATAACATTTAGGATCTAACTCTTGGCTATCTTTTTAAAATAACTTTTTTATTTAATGACTTAAGGTTTGATGGAATATTCTTATTATTCTTAAAAGTTAATAGGTAAATAAATGATTAACAGATATAGATTAATTTAAACTATTATTTATTAAGACCTACCTATATCTTAATATTTGTACAAGTGGTTCTTACTAAGTGGCCTTACATTATTCATAATTTTTTAACTAAATTTAATTTGGCTTTATAAGTTAACATTAAGTTGTATAAAGATAATATACTAGTATATAAAATATGGTTGTATTAGAATTTTTATTAAAACATTTTTTAATGTAATAATTTAAATTTTAGAATACAAATATAAATAAGTAAGTAACTTTTCATTCTTGAAATAGTTATATCATTATTCATAGGATCTCATATTCATAAATATGTTATGTTGGTTAATTTTACAAATGATTACTAATGCATTAGGTTTAGATTTAGGTTATATATTTAATATTTAATAAAAACAATTTATTATATTGCACACAACATTATTTTTTAATTTAACAAATTTTAATCAAGTATCCATAAAAACAGTTTATAGTAAATATAATAGATACCTACCTAATAGGTATATAAACAAAAATCTTAAATCATATTTAGTAATAGTTATTTAATACAACAGTGCAAAGTATAATTTATAATAAAATAAAAATATTACAAATGAAAATCATAATCAAAATTGAAAACATTATAACATTATACAGCAAAGCATAATCACTACAAAAAACATAATAATTTTAATGATAACAGTTCTAATTTTAATTCATAACAAAATATCAATACCCATTAGAATTTAAAATCACAATTCAAATACATTTAGTCGTATACAATATAAAGAAGAATTATTGTGGTTTAACATAAAAAAGATCCTTAAACATTTAAATATCTTAAAGATTTATTCTTTTTTAAGTATACCTAATAATATTTCAAAATTATTATCATTTAAACGGTTTCTAGTTGGGCATAAGATTTGGTTACCTGCACTAAATATTTTCTCTACCGGTGCAGAACTAGGTAAAGTTGTGTTATATTTTAAAAATATATTTTTAATTACGTTGTACTTATGTAGACAGTTCAAAGATCTATTTTTTGAATCTAAATATAATAAGCCTTGCACTAGACCTATATTTTTTTCATTTTCATCAACAGATGAAGAATTTTGTTCAAAATAATTAGAAAAAAAAATCATTATTAGAAGTGCGGGATGAATTTGAAGTGTCACTTAGACATTCATCATTCTCATTCTGTAGACCATGGTATTTACATTCTTCTAAAAATAAGCGTCTACAAACATCAATGTACTCATTCGGTATCCAGGACAATTTGAACTTTGGATGAGAAATAGCAGAAATTATAAATATTTTAGATGATTCTTTTTCTAAATCAATGATATAGCTAAAACGGATTTTAAAGTTGTTTAAAATGGTGTCCTTTAAATGTTGACAATGTTTCAAATGGGAAATTTTTTTCTATCTTATCTGACATTATAAATAATGTGGGTAGTACAACTCCTAAAAAGCAATTCTTTTCCCCTTGAAATATGTCTAAACTAATTGCAATCGGTTCCATAATTCTTATATATTCTTCAAAAAATTCTATTTCTTTAGTTTTTAACCTAGGTATATTAAGTTTTTGAAAAATATTATTTAGACAATTTTTATACTGTAATAATTTATTAACAGAGTTATAAAATGAATTCCTTTGAGTAATTACTGGAATTGGAAATTTATACTGAACAATATATTTTACTACATCTGAAGCTTTTGTACTGCGACGAAGTAAGTTCCAAAATGTATGAGCTTTACCAAATGCATCGTTATATAAATCTTTATATGAGTTGTTACTTTTAGCTTTGTTACTATCACTTACTGCTAGTAAATTAAGAGTATGAGATAAACAACGAATTTGATTTGGTAATGTTATATCATCAAATTCATTATACATGTCAATATGTAACTCCTGTACATTATTTATAATTAAATTTTCTTCATCTGAGCTCTCAATTTCCTCTTCATCATCATCACATTCATTCATTAAAATGTCTGTATCCCCAACTGTAAGTAAAATATTTGGTTCTTTTTGCGGCACAATTGTATTTGTATTTGTATCATTAAGAACTTTAAATGTTTTAGAAAAATTAGATGCATTATCTGTAATAGTATGAGTAATTTTCTCAACATTTAAATTACTTTCAGTATGAATTTCATATATTAATTTTCAAATATTTTCAAAATTGTGAGAATATTTAATTCGTTTACGTGCTAGCATAAAACTACATCTTTCTATTTTAATTTTATCAATGAAATGTACCGTCATTCGCTCATTCCCATGTAACTTTTATTGTTGGATGACCAAATGTCTGCAGTAGTGAATACATATTTTTGATTATTTAAAGTTTTCATTAAATTACATTTTACAGTATTATATTCGTTAGTTAATAGTTGCATTAAAGATTTTCTACAAAAAATAGTGTACGGATTATTTCTTACTGATAAAAAACGCTCTATCATGGTCCTAAAAGATTGTTTATCGATGGTAGATACTGGGAGCATTTCTTCTACAATATAATTTAATATTAAATAATTCACCTCTTTTTGGCTTAACTTTTCACTAGTTTTTTTCCTTGTCTATTGAAACTATCAACTAATGACAATTGCTTCGTAGAGTTTAAATCAGACTGATTATCTACTTTTGAATTTTGAAATTTCAATTTTTCTTCATTCCACACTTTCATTTTGGCTGAATGAACTTTCTATAATAACATTAATAACATTATTATGACATTTAGTTTTTATAAATGCAATTATTAAATAAAATACGAGTGCTTACTTTAATATGAGAAATAAAATTGCCAGTTGAATTACTATTCCCTTTGATGCATTTAAAACATGCTGTGCATTTCATGACCAAACTATTTGTTTGTTTGTCGAATTTCAAAATAGTGTACAAAGATGAATTAAACAGATACGACGATGTTTCTTTTAGGGGTAGTGCTTGTGATATTTCCAAGGAATCTGGATCGTCCATAGTCTTCATTAGTTGAACGATCATGACGAATATACTTATCCATATTTTATTTAACGTCAGAAATATACCTCAAAAGTCAACACTAAACTGTAAACTATTTAGGGTATCCGGTGACCGGTATATTTATATTTTATGGTGTTGGACTAGTTGTACTAGACGACAATTTATCTAATGTCTGAGGTTACGAAAGATTGTCGTAAAGAACTATTTTACTCAGTGGCGAGGCGAGCTATTTTAACACAAGGAGCAAAGATTTTAGTCTAGGTACCCACCCACCCAGACCCAGTACCCACCCAATATCTTATCAAATATACAAAAAATATGTGTACAAATTATATAAAATAAAAACAAAATTTAACAATTTAACGTAGGTACACTATGTTTATTATTACACAACATTTATTTAAATAATAATAATTTATTCAAAACATTTGAAGTAAATGCATATTTATTTATAGCCTCTTCCAGATCTATATAAATGTCCCTCTCACATGATAGTAAAAGTAAGCTTTCTAAACGATTTTGCTGCATAGTGGAGCGTAAACGAGTTTTGATGAGCTGAAGCTCTGAGAATGATCGTTCACTTGAGACAGAAGTGGCTGGAATGGTACATAAATACTTGTAAGCAACAAACAAATTAGGGAATGCTGCACATAACCCGTATGAGCTAATTAATTTTAAAATTTGTATTGATGTAAGATTTTTTTCAGCAATTTTTGTTAATGTATTACTATTAGAACTACTATCAGAATCACATGTATCTGTATTTTCTTCAGTAATACTTATTTCATTATCAGGATTGGATAATGATGTAAGATTCAAATTGGATTGCAGATTTTTAAAACTTGAAGCAAATATTAAATATTCATTTTTCAATTCTTCAAGTTGTAAATTTGGAATCCATTGCACCAGTGTTTCAAATAAATCATTGGGAATAGGTTCTCCATTACTTGTAGCCATAAGACGGCCATAGGAAAGAATCGAAAAGTCTTTTAATATATTTCGAGCCCCGTCAAATCTCATAAAGATAGAATTTGTAATTTGATCTAAAATAACAAAATAAACTTCTGTTCTGAATTTGTCTAACGGATTTACAATTAAATATTCTGTTGGTGCTTCACCAGGCATTATTTTTCTACGTCGGACACGTACATCTGGCAAACAGCTTTCAGTAAGACCCTTGTCACTTGCAAATGTTTTGGCTTCATTCAATAAATTTTCAGCCTCATGATTTGTCCTTAACTTTTTAATTTGTTTACTCACATTATCTACCATAGTTAAAGCCTGGATAAAATCAATTGCTGGTGATTGAAGGTAGACTGATAATGGAGTGGTGTAAAAAAATATTTTTTTCATTAACTTAAGATTTAGGACAAATGTAAATGAAGATATGATGGTATGTAAGTTTTTAGCTGTTGAAGAGCAATCTCGATCTGGTGAATTGGTTAATTCTTCTAAAGTCATCAATAGTGCTTCATATTTATCGTGAATAATAGAAATTGCTCGATCATGGGAAGTCCATCGAGTTGTAGAAAAATTTTTAATGCGACAGACTCTTTGATCAGGATAAATTTTTATTTGTTGTTCTTTAAATATAGCAGTACGTTTCCTTGCTCTCATATAACTTATTAATGATTGCAATTCACCAAAGAAGTTTCTCATACTTGTGCTTTTATCACATGTATCAACAATTACAAGATTTAGTATGTGAGAAAAGCACCAAATATATTGATTTTTTCAATTTTGCAATATTACATGCAGTTAAATGTCTCTTCCAGTTGGGGTCATTTAATCTTAATTTGTTTTTACCACATAAACAAATATTGGTAGACATTATTTTAATTTAATATTAATTAAAAACAATACAATCTCATAAATCACATTAGTAAATAGTAAGAAACTTAGAAGTAAACGATAGCAGCGAGTCGCTGACGCATTGTGGCGATTAAATATTAAATAATATTGGTATTTGGTAGGTAGTTGGTGGGGTCAGTGGAAAAACCATTTCATGATTTTATTTCTATTTATAAAAATAGATTATTTTCATTATTATTAAGATTATATTATATAGGTATCATATATTATGGATATACAGTTTATATATATATTGTCATATTGGATATTATTGAACATGGCTCTGTCTCTTATTCAGTTATCAGTATCTTAATTTTATATAAGTACATTATTTTACGCCGTACACCTTAGAGTGCAGTATACCATAATCCATGATGACCACGAATATAGAACATACAATAATTCGTGGTACAGGGCCCGTATAGCCGTATTACAATAGTTAAACACTTAAACCTAGGTTAAACCGCCGAATTCGGCCGGTAAAATCAGTAAGATAGTAAATAATCTGGAGTAAAATAACCCATTACAAAAAACATAGAGAATAATATTTTTGAGGGAATGACATATCGATTTTATATTTTATTGTTTTTTGACTTTCAAAATAAACAAAAATGTTGTAAATTTAAATTATGTTTTTATTGTTTTGAGACAATATTTAGACAAATCAATATGTCATTCCCTCAAAAATATTATTCTCTATCTTTTTTTTTAATAGGATGATTTTACTCTAAGATTACCTAAAAACATAGAAAAAAATAATTGTGTTTTGTCTATGTTGCGCGTGGGCCAGACTGCCAGAGAGAGAAAACCAATAGTACGCAGTGCGATGACATCTTTTTGCGTAACCGAGGTTTAAACTATAATTTTATTGTAAAACGGACACATTAAAATAATACCTATATTGATAACCGATTTTAAACGTGTTAACATTTAACAACATGCTTATTAATCATATTAACTATGTTGTTGCTTATTAGTTTATTAATATTATAGTAGGTATATCATTACTTCTAGTATATACGTGAATGATCAATTGTAATACCCACCCACCCACCTACCCACCACACCCAAAATTTAGAGGAGCGGCCGCTCCTTTGGACCCCCGTCACCACGCCACTGATTTTTACTTTATATTATATCTTTTATTAGAGATTATAGCATTTACAGAGAGTAGTGTTCGGCTAATAAATTGTCAAATACGTCAATTGTATAATTATTGTTACGTAATACTATACTATTCGGTATTCCCTCAAAATAACAATATTAATAAAGAAATAATTATAAACATACAATCAGCTGTCACTTATAATTTGTTCTATGTTTGCACTATACATGATTAGTAAATAGTAATAATAATATTCGCATTTACAAAAATCCGTCTGGTTCAACGAATTTAATATTCTGGCTATTGGCTAATATTAGTGGTTTTTCCAATAGTCGATTGAAGACATACATCGTTATCGTCGTTATCGATTATATTTATAATAAGTAGGGCTAGGATTTATATGCATTTGCATGTTTTTTTCCTTAAGTCCAAATCGATTGTTTGTCAAATTTGTCCACGATTTTGCTTACTCTCGTTTAAATAAAATCAATTTTTTTTTGCATATTTTTGCATATTTTGAACACAATGCATATTAACAATTGCATATTTATAGATTTTAAGGTTTTTTATTTTTTTTTTAACTTAAATTTTTAAATTTTTATAAATTATTGTTAATTTTAAATGGCGTTTATTTCATAATACCGATAGTTTTTGGTTTATCCGTCGAATTGTAAATATATAGGTAATAAATATATATATCTCCTCCACGAAGACAATTATTCAAAGCCGTATCTATTAATGTGTGAAGAACTAGAAAAATGTAATTTCCAAACTATTGGCAAAATATTTAATGATGCAATGCACCTATTATGGCCATCAGGGGTGAAGTACGAAGAAGTTTTACTTTTTGTTTCTGACGCCGCGCCATATATGGTTAAATCAGCGAATTCCTTGACTATGTTATACCCTAATTTAATTCATTTAACATGTTTGGCACATGGGATTCATAGAATTAGCGAATGTTTACGAAATGAATATTCTACTGTTGATAAATTAATAGCGACAATTAAAAAAGTATTTTTGAAAGCTCCCAGCCGAATTATCAAACTACGTGAACTATTCCCAAATTTACCTTTACCACCTCAACCAATTATCACTAGATGGGGTACATGGTTAAATGCAGTAGAATACTATTCAAATAATTTTTATTCAATAAAATCTGTAATATCAAATTTAGACGACGAAGCAGAATCAATTAAAAAATCAAAAGAATTGTTTGAAGACAAACATTTACAAAATGATTTGGCATATTTAAAAAGTAATTTTTGTTTTCTCATCCAAGCTATTACTAACCTAGAAAAAAGTACACTATCCCTTGACGAAGGTTTAAACACTATTTTAAATGTGAAAGATAAACTGAATAAATGTAACGGGTGAGCAGCAGAATTGGTAAAAACTAAAATGGATTTTATACTAAAAAAAAATAAGGGATTTAAAACACTATTAAAAATTCATAGAATTATAAACGGTGAATATGAAAATGAAGAAGAAGATATTGATATTAATCTAACTCCAGGGAAAATCGCGTCATTCAAATATGCACCAATAACCTCGTGTGATGTGGAAAGGAGTTATAGTCAGTATAAATCTATTCTACGTTCAAATCGCCGGTCGTTCATATTTGAAAATTTGAAACAACATATCATAGTAGCGTGTAATAATATAAACTAATATTTAATGTAATTATATAAACTTATATTTAATGTAATAATAATACATTATGAATTATGATAAAAATACATATCTAGAAATAATAAAAATTTGTTTTTGCATATTTTGGTAAATCAAATGCATATTTTACAATTTGTTATTGCATATAAATCCTAGCCCTAATAATAAGCAATTCAATTATTGCTATCATGTTAGTTATTACCCCGTCACAGTTAAACATATCAAATGTTAATCTATGATTAAGACGATTATGACAAACGGGCTAAATAAAATAATAAAATCTTATTTTAACAAAAAAAAAAAAAATTAAAATTAAAAAAAAAATCTCTAGTATGCTCGATTTAACATCTATTATCTATCGACAGAAAAAACGCAAAAAGATAAGTATACTCTGGATTTATCTAGATAAAAGATAAAGATTATTTTATCTTGATAGTCCCAACACTGGTAGTGATGTGATGGAGAACTATTTATATTTTTAATAATAATAAATATATTATAATAACAAATTAGTTCAATTATTATTTATAAATAGACAAATATAGTGGTATTTTTATATTTTTTTTAGCTATATCCCACTTCCGCCGCTAAAGCGCGGCTATAGTTAACTCACCCACAGGCCATCAGTCACCACACATGATATTTTTAACACTGCATTAGGTATTGCATTTTCAACTGTAACACGTGAGTACGTGACGCAATTACTATTGTAAACCGTTTTTATCAGTCTGTGCATTGAATATTTTTTTTTGATTTTATTAATATTCGATATTATTAACTACCTATACTGTATAGCAGGGGTGGCCAACTTTGATAGACCTGCGATCGACCTCCGAGTTTTTCTAGGTGGTCGCGATCGACCAAAAAAAAAAAAAAGGTTGTCAAAAACACAAAAAATATATTATGTGTACAGGCGTGTTACACTTATTTTATTACTTTTTATTTACAATATAAATTCACAGTTTAACACTATAACACTACAAGTATTTTAATATATTTGATTACAAATTATTATTTTTTATTTACTACTATTTACTATACTACTACTTTTAATGAGATGTTTGTGCTTGCATTTGATTTGATAATTTATTAAATAGTTATAAATTTACTATAAAGTTATTTATTGTCTTTTTATAAATCTAATTTTTATATTCGTGGGATAGTGGGATATACAAAGATACACAAATTGTTCAAAAATTTAAGAAAATGCGAAAGGGTGTCGCGATCGACTTGAATTCATCTCGCGATCGACCGGTTGGCCACCCCTGCTGTATAGACCTATATAGGCTATACCTATGTACGATGACTGAACCGAGTTTAAAAAAGGTAAGTGAAATAATACATTTAAAACACATTTTGGTCTGTAGACTTTAGACTGTAACTCGTATGGTACCTACGTATGTATACGAAAGGGTCAGGCCATGCATAGTTTAAACTTTAAGTACCTCCTAGTACCTATAGCGTTATAGCAATCGTACCTATAATACCTAGGGAGCTACCCATACATTTGTCGTCATGCACGTCTAACCTGTATGTCTCTTAGATGTATCTATGTATCCATTATTAATTTTTGTATTTATTAATTATTTACTGTTACCTATATAAGTTGTGGATTGTGGCTGTGTTCTCCGAGACCCGTGACTACAGTGTTATTCCTTGTAACTGGCTGACCGAACCCATTAAGGAAAACACCAGTACCTACATCGTATTGTAAATGGCCGGAGTACCCAGTAACCAGCACACATTTGCAAGAGGCACAAAACCCTATGCCAAACTGCAGGGACACTTATAAAATAAAAATATTGAATGGTAACAAAACATATGGTAAGAATTTAATATTTTTATTAAAATTATAATTATTGAAAAAATTTCATAATATTCTGTTTTTTTTTTGTCCATTTTTTCAGTTTGGTAAACTTACTAAATAAGCCTAAAAATTTAAATGAGGAGAACTTTACTCTTCTCAATATTTTCTGTAGCATGCTGCATACCAGCATAATATTTTGAATATCATTATAACACAATTTTGTTA